TCCATGTTTTATCAGATGTGAAGCAAAAGGCATCTCAGTAAGTAAAAATGTCTCATAAAATGCTCCATACAAGAGTAAACTACGTTAGTGATTCATTGAATGGCTTTTTTTTTTTTTTTAAGATGAGTTTTGAACTAATAGTTCAATTTTAGGGACACCCTAAAACACCCAAATCAGATAGTGTCAATTGCACTAATGCTTTTACCCACTCTCTTTTACTTGATAGGATCCTCAGAAAATTTAAAAGGAGCCAGTAAGAAATTTGTTTCAGACTCAGCTGGCAAAAATTCCATCTATTCCCAATGCCATTAGGTCTTACTCCTAAAACTAAACGAGAAGTCACTCCACACTCTTCCCCCTGCTCCCCTTCTGCATAAAAGTAGCAAATTACCTTTATTGATCTGACCAAATTCTAAATTGGGCAATTATGTTTGGCCTCTCTACAGTCATCTGGTATTTCAACAGAAACAGTCCTCACATCACATCTAAACTCTGAGGGTGGGTTTTTTTTTTTTTTGTTACTGTTAAAATAGCTACTATGCTCCAACTGTGAGTTTCAGTGATCTCTTTAGCTGACTTAACAACTCACAGGAGTCTTGTTTGACCTAATTAACTAAAGCTCACAGAGAACTTGCGGATCCTTTATTTAGAAGTAGTATAAAAATAACAAATCTTATCAACACATAAAAGGTATGAGAGAAAGTTATCTACTTTATTGGTATTATTTTTCTGTCTCAGTGGAAGTCATATACTGGTCTGGGCAACTACATGAGAGCCACACACATGCATTTCACCGTAACAAATGCAATTTTGCATCTTTATCCACCCCTGTGCCTACAGAAGTCTCTCCAAGGTTTGTTCTTGCTTTTCTGCTCTCTCTTCCTTGTCCCTTTGGAGTAGTCACAAGAACAAGTTCAGTTGCCCATAGTGGTACCAATCATAATCTTTTTTTTCTTCCCTCTCCCACTCCATATTAAGTACAATATTGGGGAAGGGAATCACTGGCATCTTCTGTTTATAAGCCTTTGTAATACTGAGAAAGGATAAGTAGAACGTTCTTTTAAATTTCTTAAGCTTCCCATAAAACGAAATAGGCATCTAATCCAAATTAATCTAAATAACAATATGGATTATTTGAGCCAGGCAAAATAATAACACAAGATAATGGGGTCCATACACTTAGTGACAATATATGTACATATGTGTATGTATGTGCATACATACACTCACACATATGTACACACACACACACCTGGTCAGCTACGGTAATCAGAAACTCTACCCACATTATAAGCAAATCAGTATACAATGTTTACATAGAACAGATTTTAAACACTCAGTTCCTGTGAACTCCCTCCCAAAGATTTTGTACAATGGCAGTGAAAGTAGGAAAGTCCAAACCAAGTAGGTTAAATGGAACAGTAGCCTTTTTTTGACAGAAAGTAGTTACTAAATCTTACTGTTTCTGTGCTCATCTTCGAAGGCTGGATACAGACAGATCAGAAAGCAAAGAACTGCTTTTTTATTTTCCAGTGTCATGACACTATATCTATCTGCACACAGATTACATATTCACATGGGGGGAAAAAAGGGCTCTTTTGTATCCCAGAACCATAAAAGTCATATCATCTTTCCTCCTTGAAAAGTATTAAATATTTTAATTCTATTACTGATTACTCAGTAACAAATAAAGGTGATTTTTAGATAGAATTTTTAACTAGGTTATCATTACTACTCCAAAAAATACCCAATATAAATAAGAAAAACCCTGAATAAATTTTCTGATAGCTTCCATACCAGTATTATTTGTATCCCTTTCCAATTTTAGAGAAACCTCCTGCATTTTCAAAAAGCTTATTGTTTTGTTAGTATTTAAAGGCTTATAATATCAGAATCCAACTACTCAGAGCATAACATGATATTACAGTAAAGCAAAGAAAACACCATACATCTTTATTTCAAATTCCTTTCAGGCACAGCCCTTCCTTTAAGAACTCATTGCACACAAATGCCTTTATCTCCACAGTATCAGCTTCCAGTTCTACTAAGATTATCACTTGGCTTTCACCTTGATAGCAAAAATTACAAGAATATCACAGCCCTGTGTAGTACAGTGAACTCAGGCTTATCTTTCCAATATATATTTCACAGACCTACAAACTAAAATTACTGCACAACTCTTATAACTCAAACCTATTCAAGCTTCCCCATGCACAGTTTCTCCCTAGTAATAGCATGGACTCTCTGTGGTCAGAGAACCAAGGAAGACTGCCAATATTTTACACGAACTAATTTTCTACAACTGTCTCTCTCAAAGTTGTGCTTCACTTTGCCCTTCCATTTCTCACTGTTCTCCTCCTCCCTCCAATATTTTTTCAGCTGAGCTATTTTATCTTGGAACAACATAGCATCCCTCTTCAGGCAGTGTTTTAATCGCTCCACGCTTCCTGGGTATTAGATTCCAGTTCCTATTGTTTAACTGAAAGGCAAATACAAACCTTACAATGTATCTCAATATTACTACAGCAATTTCTTGGAATTTTTAATTGAAACAAACCTGGTCTTTCAAATGATAATTCAATTACAAAGTTTGCCAAAAAGCACAAGATGAACATTTCAGCCTATTCAAAGATATTAAGAGATGCTGTACATTCTGTTTGGCAGTTGTCCTACAGTGCAATACTACTAAATAACGAAGTGCCTACTGTTACCATTTATAGGTACTGACCTACGGAAAACATCTGCAGTAACAACTAGCATTTGAACTTTCACTACAGTAAGAAACTTTTCTACAAAGCTGACTACGCACAGCAGCGTGATAAATAACATTAATTAGATTTCTTACATGATTTGTATTACAGTTTGGGAATAATAAAAAAATTTCTGCTGGTGCTGATCCAACAACAAGCAAGTATTTCCATTTAGTCTCTTAATATATTTTAAGAGATGACCTTACAGCATAGCTTCTAGCCTCAATACCAGTTATAAAATCCTAATCCCAGCTCTGCCACATCCATTTGTGCACCTCAGTACACTTCCTCAGGCTTCGGATTTACCGTTTGTAAATGGGACAAATTTCTGTTACCCACCCACCCACAAATGTCGTAGATTGTTCTTTCATGTCAGAAGAGCTATGGTACTACAACAGTAGTACTGAAGGTAGTCAAACACTGACAGCTTTGTCCAGGGAAGTTGTGGAGTCTCCATTCACAAGAAACTCAAAACCTGACTGGATGCAGTTCTGGACAACCTACTCTAGCTGATCCTACTCGAGAAGGCAGTTGAGCTAGCTGATCTCAAGAAGTCCCTTCCAACCTAAACAATTCTCTGATTATTTCTATATTAGAAAATATTTAGGTTTTGGGGTTTTTTTCTTGGTTTGTGGTGGGTTTTGGGGTTTTTTTTTTGGGGGGGGGGGAGTGTTATTTGTTTGTTTTGGTTCGGATTTTTTTAAAAGTTTCTGGAGAAACCCACCACAAAACAATTTATTTTCTACTCTGAAGCTCTGCCAGTTTCTTCTTGTCACGGAACAGATGTCTCCTTCCAAAGTTCTGTGAAAACAGTAAATTCTTTCCCCTGTTATTTAAGAATACAATAATGTGGTGTACAATGTTATAATAAGTATAATGTGATAGAATAGAAAGCAGTCCCAGAAAGAAAATCACTAAGTGAAAGTTTATAGCTAGAGCTCTCTCTCTCCCTCCCCCCCTTAAGGAACTAGTTTTAACAATAAAAAAGAAATAGATTAGTAGAAAGGAAGTTTAACTCATTTGTAGTTAAAATGATTCCCCTTTCTCCAACTCAATATCATTGCCAGTATTACTGTTGCCGCCTTCATCTGACACTGGGGAGAGAGAAAATCTTACAGGAAGAAAACAAAAAAGATCACTTTATTCACATACACCAGAGAGGTAAATATTTCAAATTGAAAAACAGGGAGTACTAGGTGTAAGAGTGGTATAAAAAAAAGTGTATATACCATGTGCCATGCCCGCCCCCCAATTAGATTGGATGCTACTTTCCAAGAAAATTTCTTCAGAGGCCTATGATCCCCATAGAGGAAGTGGGAGCAATGAAAGTAAAACTGATTTCATAGTAGACTTGATTGCTTTTTGAAGGGAGTACGGAACATGGCTGGCTATGCTAGAGATACACTAGACTCATTTAATTGGATCTTTTCCAGTCTTATTTCCTAGATATCTAACTGCTGTCACTTCAGGTTTAAATAAGGAAACAAAGCTGCTGCAGCTCTATGTAGAGGTATTTCTCTAAAGTAAGGAAAGAAAGGAAATTTGTGCAGAACCTGCAGTTCTTGATCCTAATCCTACAGTTATGGCTTGTAATTACTAAGCTAAAAAGCTAAAAGGGGGGGGGGGACAGGAAAAAAATACTTTCAAATGTACAAGTTCTTTATTTGCTGTTCCATGGGATTTGGCCATTAAAAAAGTAAGAGAAGAACAAAGATGAAAGCAGAGGTAGGTGACATTATGTGGCAGCTACTGAAAATTATATAAAATAGATGAGTATAAAACTCAATACACTTATCTTGAGTGTTTAGTTTTAATAGAGGAAGGAACAATCATACAAAAAGACCTTTTAGTTCTTCCTCTTTCAAACTCTAGATGCTAAAACAAATACTCGCAGACTGTGCTAAATAATTCTTTCAAGTCTTTGATGGGACTTACAGAAGTCTTCCATTTTGAGCTACTAAACACATATACTATTTCTTACATATTTAAGACCACTTTAAAATTGGGGTTTTTTAAACAATGAAGCTTTCAGATCTGAAGGCAGAATTTCAAAACTGCTGGAATTTCCAACATAGCCCATGTGAACCTCACACGATCAGTGATCCTGCAGTTAGCGAACCCCCACTAGATATAAGGAATCTAACAATTCTTACACCGATTATGATTTTTTCCTAATGGACTGAAATGCAGGCAACATATCTCCCAAGATATTTGAGAAGTAAAGTACAATGAGAAGAGTACTGTTCTTACCACATACAACTGTTTCCAGAGCACAGCCCATTCCTGCAGCGTTGCTGTGACTTCAGTCACAACAGAATCTTCAAGCGGAACAACTGTTTCATATTGCCTATACAAGAAGAGGGGAAAAAATTAGGAAAGGTACCCTGGAAAAGGTAGAAAAAGAAATAAATGTCAACATAGTAATTTGTAAAATGCTAGAACTTGAATTTGTTCAACATAAAGGAAAATATCTTAAGAGCAACATTTTGTCTGTTTTAACACTGAAGCAACTCCAGAGTTTTATCAACTGTTCCTCCACTACATTCACAAGAATCGGCTTACGTGAAGCATTTTCTAGTTACCTGTTCAAAATATATAATTTCATTCTAATCAAAGTCAATGAAACACTTTTCATGATTATAGCATGTTAAATTAACTTGCCTGTAAAGTGGGGTTCTTCACTGTTTGTGTCCCTTTTTCTCAAAGCCAGTCCAGCCCTTTTTTCCCCTCCAATTAATATGTTAGCCAATATCATTAACTACGCAAAAGATCTACCATCTATTAACCTTTCCTATCCAGAAAACTTTTTCAATATTGGATATGAAACCCGAGTGAGTTATCCTCTAATCAAAATAACAAGACTTGTCCCTTTGTGGTCAAGATCCTCCATACCCATTAAAAGAGAAGCATAGCGCGCTCTTCTTTCATCACACTGAAATGCAAGAATGTGATAACCAATGTATGTATTGTAATAGCATTATATTATCTGAGCCATCAGTGCCTTGACTTGCCCTTTATGTTGAATGCCATTACTGAAACAAATGTCAGACATTGTAAAAATAAGGTCTATTTCAAGCTTTTGCTCTTTCAGCAATTTTTAAAAAAGAGGGAGCATTAAAAAAAAACAAACAACCCCACACCACATTTGTGAAACACACCCTGTTGGAACAATTTTCCATAGGTCCTAACGTAGCGGTACTGAAAAACACTGGTTTAAAAGGTGTTTTGGGACGAGCAGTGTCAAGTGAGAGACAGCCTCTGCAGCACATCCAACAATCACGAATGACACCGATCCCTTCCTCTTCAGCAGTACAACTGTGCATACAGCTGTTTTGAAATTCTCCTGAAGGGAAGCTACAAACTCCCCATTCCATAACCAGTTTAGGCTACTTCTTCTGTCCTTTGTGCAGAGTTAAATGAGTGCTAACAAGTAAATAGGCGAACAGTAAGAGGTAATTAATTCCAAAAGGTGGTGGTGGGATTGGTTTTGTTTGTTTTTAAAAGAGGACACAGTTAATCATTAAAAAAAAGCCACAGACTTTCATGGCAATATTTCACTTTTGAAAATTCTTACTAGAAATAATTGTGCCACATTAGCTGAAGCCAAAAGTAACAAGCGATGGGGGAGAGGATGATGGAGTTAAGTCACCGTATGTCTCTCTGTATTCTTGGAGCAGAAAACTTATGAAAGAAAAGCTTCAATTCTTCATTTCCAAGCTACCAAAAACTCATACTCACATCAATGACTTAAGCAAATCTTACATTAAGATCCAAAATATACATATATTAGAAACAGAAACATCTTAAAAACCTGGCATAGTCATATCAGGCATGCATTCAACCCACTAAAGCTGGGACTGGGAAGCGCTCATTCATATACATACATACCAGGAGACAAGACAGATCACAATTTTTTCCTATTATTATGCCAATGACCTTATCATTCCCACATTTTGCTGTGGGAAACTGAAACACTGACAGACACTTGGCATCTGAGATTGCGCTCTATTCTACTCCTGCAATGTTTTGGTTTGTTTGGTTTTGTTGTTTTTTGAGTTGGTTTTGTTTTTGTTTTTTTTAATTTGGCCACAGTAAGACAAGGAAATCTCAATTCATGCTTTAACAAATCTCCACAGAGTACGCTTGTGATCTCAAGTATGACACTAAGAATATGATGAAAATCCCAACACCTACTCTTTAGCTCACATTCAAAGATCATTTCAATGGTTAAACAAAAATTCTTCATTTAGTATATAGCATCAAAAGTTTGCTTGACACTAACAACACTAAAAACGATGCCACAAGCACTTCTAGCTGAAAATTCAGTTCTTTTCAGATTTCTGTAAAATGCCATTACAGGGAAGGGATTCAAAATAGTTCAACATCCCTTTAAGAAACCACAGAAAAGGAAAGGATGAAAGGAATCACACAATACACTTTATCTAAGATACGGGGAAAATTAAAACCAAAGAAAAATGTTCTCTAAAGATTATTTTTGGAAATGGATTTACAAACTTTTGGCATCAGTGAAAAATAAAACATTTTGGAAGATCGATCTTCAGCGGTATGGCTGGATTTAGAGAGAATGCACATTAGGACTACATTTAACCACGTAAATATAATGCTTTGCATTCCTATAACCCTGCACTTCCTCCATTATACCCACATATTAATGACATTACATTGGGTCTATGACTCAAATATGAGAACATTATATACCACGCTCTATTATTTCACAAGTGTTTATATTGGCACTTTGAATATATTCTTAAATACAGGGGCAGAACTTCTTTTACTAAAACATGAAATAACCATGATCTCTAGTTTAGAACTGTATTACGTTCTGTTGTATCAATTGGTAGACCAGTCTTCAATACTTATTTTTAAAAAGTACATCAACTTTCCTAGTAAGTATCTAAATATCCTGAACTGGTTGCCCTTTACAAATTCTGAACTAACATCAAGTACTAATTAACTACAGATTACAGGAAACCGGTCTTCCCCCTACACGTTAGGAGTAGTCATTCTATGCAATACATACAATTTTATTACACCCCAAAGTTACGAAGCATCAGTACTACAGGTGCCCTTACAATCTTTACTCAGTCCCTTTGAGGATAAACATACAATTCAAGACTATCAGGAGTCACATATTTTTCTACAGGTACTTCACTAAATGCCATTTAATACATTTTATCTTCGAGATTTAATTTGTTGCTTTGTGTCACGGTCTGAAATGCTGCACTTACAAATCTCCCCACAGTGGCCTTAAACTAGAAAACGGAGGCAAGAGCAGCAGTGAAGACACAGGATATTGATTTCGGGAGTCTCAATCAATCTCACAGGAAACTTTGCAGGTTATAGAGCCTACACACAGTAAGATCTCTGACATTATGTTGCCGTCAGTATTGCTGTTCACATTCACTACATTAAATCTACCTCTAGCAACATATGAGCTACATACAAAGACAGTGAAGGTAAAATATTTTCAGCGGAGTGCACTTCAGTCATTCTCTGGCTTGAAGTGTGGAGGGTTGGATCCTTTTGAAAAGTTTCACAGTAACATAACCTTGTCAGCTATGTCTCAGTGGAAGTCTGTTGCTAAACAAGATGGGCTGTCTATATGTCGGTGCCTCCGTAACGAACAGGAACATACAGAATTTTGCCAGTAAGGAACAAGCAGAAATGAAAAATATAAAGTTCTTTAGAACGCATGTTTCACATGATACCTCTGGAGTTACAATTTTATGAGCAAAAGTGAACAGGAGTAATGAACAGAATTGATTCTTGCTATATTAAAAAACAAAAAACCTCAAAGCTCTGCAGAATTGCATTTAATTTTCAAACCCTAATACACAACAAAAGAGGCAATGAACTAAAACCACTCTATAAATGTTAATAACTATTTCTTAGATTCCCTTCTAGATGAGAAACACTGCAGCTTCTTAAAGAGAAGGAAAAACACTCACCCTCTGTTACTGACGATTGCCTTTTTCAAGTGAATATAGTTTGCAGGAAAAATCCCCTGCAAGAGAAAAAAGTCTGTAAGTTAGAAAAATACATTTGCATTTTTTAGCATTTATATCCTAAGCCATAATAAATAATTGCCAATATACCTATTAAAAAGAAACCCTAACACTGTGTCAAAGAAGCTACCACAGTCAAAAGTCAACATTCAAATCAGTCACAATTGATCATTTTAATCCATCTTAGAACAGGACAGCACACTGCATCAAACCTCCATCTTGAAAGATCAATTCCTTAATAAGGAAGTTTTGCAAGTCTAGTCAATAAAAATATCATACAAAGATTTAAGCTGAGTACTTTTCATTCCCAAAAGCTCTGAAGTGCTCAGAAACACTGTTGTACGGGGAAATATGCTCTGCTATAAAAACCATGGGTAAGTCAACTAGGACCAAACGAAAAGGTGTCACTCTAATCCTACAGAGCTGCCTTGGAAGGGATGAGATTGATTTAAAAGAAAACAAATTTAAGTTTAGCCATTTGTCTTCCTACTGCAAAGACTGTGAGAGCCCAATAATCCACCAACAGGTGATGAGCAAGCAGGAAAAAGGTGTGACAAGCAGGAAGAGTTCAGAGAACAGCTTGCAGCTAGCAGAAAGGGACGAGTAACAGAAGTAACTACCGGGAACATCTACTGGAGAGTTGTAAGCTAGCCGGGACAGCAGAAAAGTGGCTACGGTGCAGTTTGCAGCATAGCATCGGTATGCTTCCAAGACCAGGCCTCTGTATCAGTATGGTACATCAGGTGACAAGAACATAGGCTTAAAAAAACCAAAACAAAAAGCCCACCATCAAATTTGTGTCTAGCCCCCGTACCAGTCTTTCACTAAGGAGAGAAGTATTCTATTACTTGCATACCCTGCAGCTATCCTTTTTCCTCCCTCTTTCCAACAAAAAGCTGTTTAAACCCACTTGGAATAGCTCTGGTTATTTGCTTTTTGCTGTTCCCATGATGGCTGGATTCTAACTTTCCCTGTGCCATTGTGTTCTTGTATGATGAGACATGGGGAAAAGAGGTAATTTAAACCAAACTCTTCATAGCGTTCCATTACCTCTGTAAAACACACGGCCCTGAATCCTCAGAGCAAACTCAGTCAGTCTGTAAGAATGGTAAGCCTGCACTTCAGTGGGGAATACAGGATCAGCATTGGTAATCTTCGGGTTAAAAACCAGCTGACAGCCTCTCACAAAAATGTCAGTAATCAAGTGTGGGCTTTAAATTTTTAGAGCTTTAAAACAGTACAATGTAGGAAGAAAAAATTTCATGGGGGGGTTGAAAGGAATACTAAGTAAAGATGATTCAAAATGCTAAGAAAAGTTCCATCCTTTTCATGGGCAAGACTGAAATTGCAGAAAGAAAAAAGATGAATCTAACAGGAATGGCTTCATCAGGAAAAAAAAGTAAATGCACATGCTTTCAGCCACACAAAAATCTGGAAAAGGAAGAAATCCTACTTCAGTTTCTTGTTTGATTCACTTCCAATTAATGCTGTGATCCTGTGCTGGTTACCTAAGAAACCAAGGAAGGTTTGAAGGGCACTCCGATCAAAAGGGAACATATACACAAGCAGAAGATGTACCAACACACACACAATGAATGTAGGCTTTTCCACTAGAAGAGTATTATAGTCATGAAAACATAATACAGGTAATATTATATTCCATAGTAAGGTAAACATGAGGAATCTGGTACTCTCTTCTTAAATACAAGCTATATTTAAACCAAAAGACAAGGAAGTGATGCTTACACGGAAGCAACTGTTTACATGTTTGGATACATACATTTACAAAAATATACAAGCACTCGCAAAAAATTCATATCAGAACAGTCAAAAAGGTTCTCTAGGAGCAAAACAGGGATATGACTGGAAAATAACCAAATGTAGTGGTTAAACTGTAAAAATCTGAAAAAAGAACAAACTTGCAATATCCTTTTTCATCAGACTTTTTTCAAAGTTGTCTTAGATTAATAATGCAAATTATTAAATGTGTTCTTTAAAAATCCTGAATTAAGTAGTGCAAGATAACCCATCTATGCTTTTCTTAGGGGAGTAGGGTGGAGAGGATCAAATTGGATGAGATTTATAAATGTTGGAAAGATTACATGTTACATGTCAGAAAGGTTTCTGATCCTTTGGGTGACTAATGAGTATCGTTCTCTCAATTTAGAAAATAAATCAAATCCTCCCACAGGAAAAAAGTTAGAGAAGTAAAACCCTAAGGGTAAAGGAAAACTAAGTTTGCAGGGTTGCAACAGCAAAGTAGATATAATCTCCCACTAAATTAAAAAAAAAAAGTATTCACACTTACCTTTACATTGGGCTTCTTAATGGAAACACCTCTGTACCAGCCTAAAACCAGATAAAACATACTATATTAATTTGTGGCATTGCTTACTTTACACAGAAGCAAACTGACTGAAAATTATGCAGTTATTGAGATCCTCTCAAAAACCAGCCGTGCCTCACACAGGTCAAATTTTTTCAAGGTTTTTTTGGGTGGTTTTTTTTTTGGGGGGGGTGGGGTGGTGGGGTGGGTGTTGTTTTGTTTTTCTTTTTTTTCCCTATTCTTTTGCTCTGCAATGATGACAAGCAATTAAGAACCTGGAATGCTCCTGTTTATTCCCACCAGGAATAAAAGCAGCTTAGTATACTTAGTCACTGTACTCACAATCATTAGCCACTGTGGCAAAGATGCATTCAGCACTCATGCAAGAATCTGTACTGAACATTTTTCTTACACGCTGGTACATGAGTCTCTTCATAGTGTTTATCTTAACAAAATCTCCAGACTTTAAAAACCTGTCCTTTTAAAGACAGGAAAAGTTGTTATCATACATTTCTAATATTGTTTAAACTAATATAAATCCTTTTCACATGTCTGGTCTTATGTATGTCTGTGAGACTAGAGAACAGACTTTAGGATCTAATTTCACAAACCCAATTATCATTCTTGTAACCCCCATCAGATAACAGCCCCAGACAGGACAATAAATCAGGAGTAAAAGCCAAAGCTGCAAAAGCTACAAGTTAAACAGAAGAACCCAATTACTCCTATTTTACAGAAGGGAAAGTAATGTCACTCCATGCAAGATTCATCAGGAAGAAGAGTGCTGAAAACACCATCCAGTTTAACAATGGAAAAGGAGCACACTTCAGTCATCACAGCAGATGAGCTGCTCTTCCACTCTGTAAGACACACAAAACTACCTTGAATTGTTGTTAAAAATACACTGCTCTCTTCACATCTGGGTCTGATGCTTCATCCCCAGAACGTAAAGCCAAACGTTAAGACCTGAGCCTGGAACACCCTCCACAGGAGCATGGGCGATGAAGAGTGCCAGGGTGCGAGCTCTGCGGAAGAGGCCTGGCCATCCCTGGACATCAGAAATTTGTGGGCAAAGTTGGCCAGGCCCAGCTACTACACAAGCAGCAAGTTCAATTGCCTGCATGTCACTCTTCTGTCTACTACAGCCCGGTATTCAGAGAGGCAACAACCCAAACTTGCCAAAACCCAACAATGTCACATAATCTAAATCCACCTTCCATAAAAATTCCTCTAAATTTTCCAGCAACTTCCTACTTTTAATTTTTTTTCTGAGGATGGATACAGTATCTGCAGCATTTAAAAGAGCACTAGGAAAACCTGTCAGTAATTTGCTAAGGAGAACAGAGAAGAACAGAACAAAGTAAATGTGTATTTTGTCTCTCAGAAAAAGGACTTCATATTTGGCTGAATTATGACGAGAGTCTCATTTAGAGGCTCTGAAGTGGGGAAGAGAGCTTTGATTTTGTTTTAAAGACAGCCTGCTAGTTTTGAATTTTTTTTTTTTTAAGGAAATCTAAGTCAATATAAAAGAAAATAATTGATGAATTCAAAACATTTGCAAATCTTAATATGGAAAAAAATTAAAATCCACCTTTATTACACAAATTTCTCATTAAGATAGGACATAACACAAGGATTTTTTTTCCCATTAAATTATTGCTTATATTAAAAAATAAAATTTTCTTTGCAATTTATTTCTTAGTTGATCAAATTTCATGGCAATCATGTCAATATAAATATATATGCACAAACAACAAAGAGATCCTTAAAATGAGTAATTTCTAAAACTCCACACAACTGTGCCTGCAACACCTGCTTTTGAGTAACAGATGCTACATATTTTTAAGGTCACAGAAAAAAATAAACGCATTTATCCTGTGATTCATTGTAACCAATATTAAATACAGCATGCTGCTGACTTTTAGTTTCATAGACTCTGTATCTCAGAAATAAACATACATTTTAAGCTTTAAGATAAACAGAATGGCAAAAGTGGTTTTATCTAAGTTTGTGAACAGAACTGTACAAGTTGGAACAAAACCCGATAAAGCAGGTGTCTATTAATGATTTAGATGTGCAGGGTAGGGGATGAAACACATTTCCAAAAAACCACCTTATTTCTGAGTTTCCTGTTCTTAATCCCCAAAGAAATCCTCAAAGCTTAAACAGTATGTGTTTACAGTGTGTAAAACACAGGAATGGAAGGACCCCTGAGAAATCATCTAGCTCATCCAAGTGAACTCTCTGAACTTCTCCTCGCAGATATTTAGCCTGTTTTCAACAGTGTCCAATAATTTATCATCAGGACTGAGTAACACCGCACTCCTTGTCTGTGGAAAGTGATCCATACAACTTCCGCAAAACCGAAATTCCAAGGTATTTCTGCGCAGTATTCCAAGGAAACAGAGTGTATTTCTGCTACTCCACACAGACCAGTTTGAAAGTGGTGGTGTTGCACAGGCATCTTTTCAGAAATTTCTTCCACTGACCATCATCGGACAATAAAACTGCATGTAACAGTAACATTTTGATATAGTACTTGAAAATCTTGACTATTTATGTCAAGTTGGAGATGGCAAATCCTCACTGGACAACCTATTTCAGCGGCTCAGACAACATACATGCACTTTATAACTTGAACTTTCTTTGCTGCTATTTGAATCCAGTATTTTTTCTTTGGGAGAATATGGAAAACATTTTGTTGACTTCCCTTTTGTAGGTACTTTTATACATTTGAAAAGTGGTATATTTTCCTTTAATCTTGTAGATTGTGCTCTCCAGATCTTAGTTTTCCTTTCTTTTCTCTTTTTTTTTTCAGTGGCTATATTTTTAGAATCACCATTCTCTGTTTTAAGTTTCCTCCAACTCCATGCAAGCAAGATACAGTAGAAAGAAGAGCTCATCAGAACCTGACAGCACTAAATTGTAGAATATAATTCCTTATTTGCTTACAATGAACACCACCAAAAACTCATTCTGTATCTCAAAGTAAAAGCTATGAGAAAAGACACAATGCTTTTTCTGAAAACACATTTAGAAAATTGCATCTGTATTACATTATTCACTAAAATGAACTAAACCTTTGTTCTGGAATTGGTCTTAAATAGATTAATATTGATCTAATCATATATTTTAAAGAACATTTATTTTGGAGGATTTAATCATGATAGTCATCAAATCCAGGCAGGAGCTTCAGCTAAGTGTGATCACAACATGCACTACATGGTTAGACCTCAATATTGACTAATGTTTTTAGCTGTTACAGTACTACAAATAATTGTTAATGCTTTAGAATTATGGCATTCATTTTCTAGTGATACATGGCCTTTAAAGGGTACTGACTTCAAGGAAATGGTGAAAAAGATGGGATTTAAAATTAAGAAGCAGAAAAACATGGCTACGAAGCGACAAGAATTCTGTGGATAAGTTAATGTGAAACAACAATCACGAGTATCCACAATTTGAACAGATTAACTGTGTAGTAATTATCAGCAACTAACAAGGATTTGAGTACAGAAGACCTTAAGGGGCAAGACCAGAGCTAGAACACCTGCAAACCTCTACAGAGAAAGGCTGTGCTTCATGCACCCAACGCCTCCCCCCATTTCCTTCTCTGACAGCTAAGAATATTCTCAAACTGCTTGCCCTGGTGGATGACCTAGGGAAAAGAAGACAGGTAATTCTAACTGTTTTCCAAAAAATGAATCACCGTACTGGGTCTGGCTGGGATGGAGTTAACTTTTTCCACAGCAGCCTGCCTGGTCCTGTGTTTTGGATTTGTGGCTAAAACAGTGCTGATAAGAGACCAACATTTTGGCTATTGCTGAGCAGTGCTTGTACAACATCAAGGCTTTCTCTTTTTCCCCAGTGTGCCGTCCCCAGCGAGTAGGCTAGGGATAGGCAAGAACTTGGGAGGGAACATAGCTGGGACAGCTGACCTGAATCAGCCAAAGGGATATTCCATACCATATAACATAATTTGCTGTAAGAAAACCAAAAATTAGTCTATTGGAAGCACCATTCTAAGCAACATCCTATTCAGGATCAGGAGGAGAACACTAAATATATCCCAAACAAGTCTGATGAATTTCAAGTATATATCATAGTCAAAATAAAGCAGATAAAATTACAAAGACATCCTAGAACGGGCAAAAATACCTTCAATGATACAGATGACACTGCAAGCAAACTTTTGTTTTCTTTGATCACACAGGAAGATAGGCACAGGATGAGCCTGCTGCTTACACCACAGCACAACAACAACTGAAGAAAGCACCGTTACGTCTGAACATTTGTGAAAGGCTGGGGATGAATGCAGGCATTTGGACTGCATCTTAATGTTGTGTCGATGTGTATTTCTGGGTAAGTCTCATGACAAAGCCACATACTTGATAAATTTTGATGAATGGAGGTGCAAAGCTTTTTGTTTGTTTGTTTTAAAGAAACAGAGTATGACAGACAATGCCTCAGTAAAACAGAAACTGTCAGTGCAGGAATTACATACACTTGCCTAATCTAACTGATTTCGAACACCTCATACTTTACATTCTCAGTATTCCCAAGACAAAGGTTTGATCCAAGTACTGTAGAAGAAAATTGAATGAATCATATCCATTCCAGCGTGTTCTAGACAAGTCACTGTATCTTAAAGCCCTATTCCAACTTTGCTTTTACATGAAGTCTACTGCACAGTGTAGTAGATAAACCAAGCAGACTACCTGAAGCAATACAGCCACACTGCACAGTGATCCATGCCAGCTAAACCATTATGTTTCTAAGGTGAAGCATAGAACCCAGGAAAAAACACAATCCTTTACAGCTGCTTTTTTCAATACCATCTAACAATATTTGATACATGACACTAAGAAAAGTGAAGAGTAGGCTGATCTACAGCTCTGCCCTCTATATAGCCTACACGGCAAATAATCCCTCAAAGATTACTTCCACGGTAATAAAACTGGAGAAGAACAAAAAGAAAAGTACCCCATTATGCCTGTTCCCCCTGCACATTTAGACCACCACC